GTGCTACTTGGTCCCAATGGAATTTCCCATTGGGAACCTGCTAGCACTAAGTTGCTAACTGGTTAGCAAGATGCTTCAGACAAACCGGCCACAACCAAACTTGCTTACAAACCTTCCGCCACAACAATCCCGCCCCTTTTATAATCGACCAATCACATTCACGTTATTCACTGGTGTAAAGTCGTGCACCACTCGGAGAATTCGGAAATGCGACGGTTGGAACGGCCGCTTCCCTACGACTTTAAGCCGCTGGTGGAAATACGTCTGCTGTTTTTACCCAGGAAGTTGAAACAACTTCAAACTGCTTGGATTTTTATTTGTAAAACAGTTTTTAAAGCTTTTATTACTTCCCACTTCCAAACTAGGTGGATGGTTGTAACAAAATGGGAAAAGGTTCCAGCAGCCTTTTAGCAAGGCATCGTTAATACGCCGTAGATTGAAAAAGGGAATAAATAAAAAAGAAGAAAGACTCTTAAGGCCGGTTGATTGGACGGCTGATGCAGCACAGTCTGCATCCTCTTACAGGAACTGCAGCCGTCCTCCAACCCTGGACTGATTTAGGAAATCTGCGTCGTCACGGTCGGCTCGTCACCTAAAGTTTCCAACACCTGGTGGAGATTTCCCCCTCATCCCTCTGAGTCCTTTCATGTCCCACAGACCGTTGTAGAGCGTGGCAGCGGTGCCTTTACATCAGAGGGATTAGATAAGCCTGGCTGAGGGGGGTGAGGGGGTGAGGACCACCTGCCTGCTCAGGTGTGTTTCTAAGTGGTTCATATTTAGGAGATAAGAGCACTTTCAGTTGGTGCCCAGAAAGGGAGACCATCAAAGAAAGATAAATCAGGATTACTTTTTTTTGTGTTATTGTTCACCTAAATATTTCTAATCTGGTTGCATCCATTATGCTGTGACTTTGCTGTTGCTCCATTGGAAGAACAGAGATTTTACTCTGAGGGAAAAAACACGACCTGTTTCTCCTGATCGTCTAAATCCTTTTTAAGCCATAAACAAACTTTCCTCTTTTCAAATCATTTTTAAATGTAATTAATCCTTTTTTTGTTTGGAAAGTTCACTTAAAGATAAAGTGGAGGCAGGGGGGGATTTACCATAAGGCAATACTAGGCAGTTTCCTAGGGCCCCAAGTTCCTGGGGGCCCCATAAAACTCTGTTTCCATGTATGGTTAATACAACTATTCCTTATTAGTGAACATTAATTATGTTTTTGATAAAAATCCTTTGGCTAAAATGCCATCAGAATGCTTAGGATATTAATTGTGTCTCAGCCCCCCCTTCAGTGTCCACCA